AGCACAGAGCCTGATCTCTACTACGTACTTGATAATTGCTTTTTATTGGTTATATTCATTAACCATTGTTGTCTTTGTTATTTTAGCTTTCCCTTCTGATTAGGCAACAAGGAATACTTTTATCTTTTTATTTTTTTAACCAAGAGTGATAGCAGGATTAAAGTGGAGGTTCTATGACAGTCATACAGTGTATGTTTTTGCTAACTAAGTTTAGCATTTGAATGTACTTAAAGCATTATTTTGTTGCATTTGGTGAATCTGTACCATTCACTGACGTAATAATATATGATGTAACTTACCTAACCTAAATGTTACTGTTGTTAAGAAAGGATGCAGGCATTTGGAAAATTCTAGGTAAAATGAGGGAGGAAATATGTGTGATGGATACTACCTTATGATTAAATTGACATCACATGTGATTTAATGTTTTATAAATATCTCATGATGAGATTTAAAGACCATGAATGTTTAGACTGTACGAGTGAATTTAAGAACTCCAAAACATTCCTGTGTTATAGTTAGTGGCTTCTCTTCTCTTGCCCTTTTTTTTTCCTTTAAAAAAAAGTCTACAACAATGTTACAGTGAGATGGTGAACATCCACTGTGCCTCTCCGAGATGCCTCTCTTAAACCTCATAGGGGGCTGTGAGGTTGTCTCCTGGTGTTGTGAGGGTAAAACATGGTGGGGAGTCAACCCTTGGCCACCACTGAGGAGCCTTCCTAGCTGCTCCCAGGTGGGCGAAGTATTTTGATGACGCTGACCTGTGTCTGAAAGGGGCGCAGGGGTTGTCCTAGACTGGCAGTATGTTCTGTGAAACATAGAGTCTGAATCGAAAAGGTTTTGTGTTCTTCAGGGCTAGCCCAGCCCTGAATGAGACTCCGAGTTCTGGGGTAGCTGGCTGGGTGACCTTGGGCAGCATCTCATCCCACCTGCAGTGAGTAGTTCAGACTCCTAGAGGGAGTACTGGCTTCCCAGGGGAAGGACGGCTCTACCTCTCATCTCTGGAGGCTTTGGCCTGTCCATTCCTTAAATCCATTTGACCACTCATTGAAATTTTCTTCTCATTTATTCTAGTGTAATGATGTTTGCATTTAGTCTTCTCATACAAATTTGTATGTAGCTAAAAATTAGCTCTAAATCAGTCATCTGTTACAACAGTAGAAGGTATTATCCCATCAGGTGACATTTTAGTACATTTCAAGTAAATGGAGTAGGATGTTCATTGCAGCACTGTTCACAATAGCAAAAAGATGGAAACAACCTAGGTGCCCATCCACAGATGAATGGATAAACAAATTATGGTATATCCACACAATGGAATGCTACGCAATAATAAAGAACAACAGTGAAGCCGTGAAACATAACATGGAGGAAGCTGGAGGTCATTATGCTGAGTGAATTTAGTTGGTCACAGAAGGACAAATATTGTATAAGACCAGTATTATAAGAACTCAAGAAAAGGTTTAAAACCCGAAGAAAACATTCTTTGATGGTTACGAGGGTAGGGAGGGAGGGTGAGGGTTATTTACTAACTAGATAGTAGATAAGAATTATCTTAGGTGAAGGGAAGGACAGCACACACTACAGGGGAAGTCAGCACAGCTGGACTAAACCAAAGCTAAGAAGTTTCCCGAATACAGTGAAACACTTTGAGGGACAGAGTAGCATGGGTAGGGGTCTGGGGGCCATGCTTTCAGGGGACATCTAGGTCAATCGGCATAACAAAGTTTATTAAGAAAATGTTCTGCATCCTACTTTGGTGAGTGGCGTCTGGGGTCTTAAAAGCTTGCAAGCAGCCATCAACCACCTGGAGTAAAGGAGAATGAAGAACACCAAAGACACAAGGAAAGTATTAGCCCAAGAGACAGAAAGGGCCACATAAACCAGAGACTTCATCAGCCTGAGACCAGAAGAACTAAATGGTGCCTGGCTACTACCGCCAGTGACGGCCCTGACAGGGAACACAACAGAGAGTCCTGGATGGAACACAGGAAAGGTGGGGTGCAGAACTCAAATTCTAGTAAGAACACCAGACTTAGTGGTCTGACTGAGACTGGAGGAACCCCGTAAAGCATGGCCCCTGGATTCTCTATCAGCCCAGAACTAAAACAGTTTCCGAGGCCAACTCTTCAGACAAGGATTGGACTGGACTGTGGGACATAAAGGGATATTTGTGAGAAGTGTGCCTCTTAGCTCAAGTAGATACAAGAGACTAAACGGGCAGCTTCTGTCCGGAGGTGAGATGGGAAGGCAGAGAGGGTTAGGAGCTAGCTGAATGGACATGGGGAATCGGGTGGAAAGGAGGAGTGTGCTGTCACAGTAGGGGGAGAGCAATTAGGGTTACATAACGATGTATATATAAATTTTTGTATGGGGGAAAAAATAAAAACAGAATTTGCTCTGACCAAAAAAAAAAAAAAGTAAATGAGTAGGATGTTTCCTTGTAGTGAGCACATACAGTATAGAACACAAATCAGTATTTTCACAAGAAGTTAAGAAACAGAAACACAGGAATCTAAAATGGAATTAGATCAGTTTTAAACAGTCATTACTTTGGAAACATATATACAGCAAAACTTCAAGTACGTAGTACCATGAATCCTAACACTCCTTAGGGACCCTAAAACCATGGTGAACTCAGACAGAGTAAACAGACTGATGTCTGCTGTTGTGAAAACACAACGTGATTAATGAGTCATTAGTAATAATCACCTAAAAGACCACAAGATGGCAGGATTTCTCTAAGAAGCTCAAATAAATCCCTTAAAGAGGAAGTTGATGCTTACAAGAAAATTGAAATGGAGCTTATTAAAATAAGAGGATGCTTTGTATGTACTAAGAAATGTGTGACTCAGAATGGAATGATTAAGAGGATGGAGGCAAGTAATTTATTGAAATCTAGAAAATATTAGAAAGTTTCTTGAGGCTTTCTCCAATAATTCATTTTTCAGAAAGGGCATAAGATACTGTCCGGAAGGGTTTATAAATGCACCTTATTGATCCTAAGTATATGAATAAAGTAAATGACCGGATACTTATAAAGCAGTAATCCACAGGTCAGCACAGGTGAAACCTGGCATTCCGTATCTGCTAATGCGTTGGCACATTTCAGAGTTTAACCCTGATGAGTCATCAAGAAAAGCATAAATACATGCAGTGCACATTATTTTCTAAAGTGGAGAACTTCCATCAAGAAGAGTTTGAATGAAATAGCCTGTTCCCAGACACCTTTTACCAGCTGGTCTGTAGCGTGGTGGGTTACTATTAATAAACAACTGCCCTGGCTGAGGGCAGAATGATGACCAGTGCCTTCAACAGAGGACAGATGGTAGTTTTAAAAATCAAGAGTTGCATTTCCTATGAATGGTATCTTATTCGTCTAGTGCTGCTATAACAGAAATACCACGAGTGTCTTTAACAAACAAATCTATTTTCTCACAGTTTAGGAGGCTAGAAGTCCGAATTCAGGGTGCTGGCTTTAGGGTAAGGCTTTCTCTATATAGGTTCTGGAGGAAGGTCCATGCTCTTCTGCTTTTCCTGGTTCTTTGGCAGTCTCCATGTGTCTTGGTATCCATCTTAACCCTATCTCTGCTGTGGTTGCTTGTTTAATCTCTTATATCTCAAAAGAGATTGACTCAAGATACACCCTAAACTAATTCTGCATCATTAACATAACAAAGACAACCCATTCCCAAATGGGATTATAGCCACAGGCATAGAGGTTAGGATTTACAACACATATTTTGGGGGGACATAATTCAGTCCATAACAAAGGGCTTAAAGATTTGCTAGTATTTTTCCTTATTCAACAAATACTTATTGTGCACTTTGAGGTCACTTGCCAGGTTTAAGTGCTTGCTGAGTCTTTAGATCTATCTGTTTCTTTTGCTGAACAAGAAAATAGAAAGGATCGCAGATTATTTAAGTCAGTAAAAAAGCTGTTTGTCTGCTTATGTTTCAGAATTAAGCCAGAACACAATGTGTTATTTAGTTTCTTTGATATTTACAAAGTAAAGAACCAGTGGGAGATGAGTGATTTAGATTTTGAGAAATATGAAATTAAAATAGAAACTTAGAATTATTTTTATCAGCATTGTCAGTTCTAGGCAAGTCATTCAGCCATTATCTCTGCCTGCTGAGCTGTTTCATCATGAGGGCCCAGTAATTGCTACTTAAATTAATAAATAAGTGAAATGTAATGAATAGATATTTTTGAAGCTATAAGAGTTTAAAGCAGATAATGTCTTATGACCACTAAACCCTCACCAGGAAGCATGGCTCCTGCAAGTCCACATCTAAGTGGGTTGTGACTTCAAATTAGAAAGTTCATATCTGTAATTTTTGCCTGATTTTAGGATGTAAACAATTTCTAGCTAAGATTGCGTCTGTTCATTCATTTTTTTTAGTGTTTGTCATCAAGTGGAGTCCTGCGTAACAATAAACATAAGGGGATATACACTCTACTTTAAGACTTTGATGAAGTCTCTTTTGCTTATAATCAGTTAATGGGAAAACTGTTTCTGCCGTCTGATACTACATTTTATGTTTTATGATAGTTTTGGAAAATTGTTACGGGTGGGTAAGGGTAAAGCGATGAGAGTCTGACCATAAAATATATATATATATGGAGACATTTATTTGAAATGGTTGGTGTTCTGTAAGTAGTAATTTGTTTCTACTTGAACGTGGTAAAAGGCCAAGAAGTTGGATTTTTTATATGGATGCTGTATTATGAGTAAGCATTGAATGTATATAATTATTAGAGGAAAGTGACAAAAAATAAAACTCTTATTAGCTATGAACTTGATTCTTACTTTCAGATTCCCAGTGTAAAATTTGACTTGTTCTTTAGGCATCATTAAATGCATAAATCATTGGATGGCCTTTGTGGGAGCTTACTTATATGTGTAGACGCAGCTTGCAAACTTGTGTTTAACTAGAGAGGAGAGTCAAATATTTTTGTCTCATTGCAAGTAAATATTCTTTTCTTCTGATTGCAGCATCTTCACAACTATTTCACAGTGACTCTTGGAATTCCTGTTTGGTGTTCTTATGTCTTTTTCGTCGTAGCCACCTTGGTTTTTGGCCTTTTCATGGGTCTGGTAAGAGATAATGCAATCTTTTTACTGTCTTTAAAGCAAAATGGGTTTCACATAAATCTAGAAAAAGCCCAAGAAAGGAATAGCACTTAAATGTTCTTTGTGTGTTACCTAAGCAGTTAAATAACATTTGCTTGTTTGACACCACTTTCAATGATAATTTGAAATATAATAGAAAATTGATTAAATTATCTCCTTATCCTATCCCCTGAATATTCTGAAACTGTGTGCTGCCCAGAATATAGGCAGTGATGAAAGGAGAAGTAGAGACCCTACTTGAATTAGATGGTCAGTTTCCAAGGCAACTGTAATTTCACACATCGCCTGCTTGATTAGAACACTGTGTTGATACGGCCAAAGCTGTAAATTTATTCCTAGGGTAAACAAGAAGATTTTTTTCTTGTTTATGTCATCTAATTATACCTCTAATCCTGACCAGCTCTTTATGCCTGCATGCTGGTTTTTTCCAAGGTAGAATGTGTAAGAGAATGAGTATAGAGCAACCCAATCTTAGACTGTGAAAAAAGTAAGATGTGAAGCAAATTATTATCATGTCTTCTTTGGGCACAAAAATTAGTATCAAGTAGACACCTATACATTTTCTCCCTAGGTGTGTTTTAGGTGAGAGTGAAATAATAAACTTATTTACTTAACTGTACAGTCAGCTATAAGTGTTTTTGCATGTTTTACTCTTTGACATAAGTGAAATAACTTGTTGCGTTTCTGGTTAAGAAAATGAGAAGTTCTCAAAAGCCATTATAATTTTTACTAATCACATAGATTTTAAATACTATATGATGGGAATATAGTTGATGATTACTACCAAATGAGTCAAAAAGAACAAACCCTTAGGTAAGATTATCATAAAGTCTAGTCTTGTATTTTATAATGAATTTTGGCTCTTTAGCAAGGTCTTTTTAAAGATAAGTTTAAAATGTTAGCAGTTGCATTTATAGCAAGTCATAACTTGGTGTGACAGAGTCCTAACTCCAGGGAGCCAAGGAGGCTTGATTTTATTTTGCCATGAACGTGATTAATTCAGATTGTGGCTTCTCTTTGGGATTTGACTGCTGCTGTTAACTTAAAGGGTGAGGAAGGGACTTAAATACCTGTATATGTCATCTGTTAAGTCCTGGATATGTCCCATTCCATTGCATGAATTTTACTGCTAATTAACTTGTCGCCATTGCTCTGGCCTAAAGGGATTTGATTTTGGATATAAATGGAATGTAATAGTCTTTGCTTCTCCTACCTTATTGTCTAGTACTAGATTTTCCTGAGTGTATTTTGGAGCCATATGGAGTGTGAGGCTCTTGTAGGGGGACGACTGTGAGGTCCAAGGTGATTCAGAGATAGAGTTATGGAGAATGTAGATTCAGTATGAGCCTATTTTAAGACCAGTGAACATTCCTCTTAATATGAAGCTTTTTAGAATTTTATCTTTGAGGTTGACTTTAAGTCCAACTAATTGAGCCAGGGCTGCTTATGCCCTAAGTTCTTTTGGAAGCTTAGATTAAAATAATCAGTGCAGGAAAGAGGCCAGAAGGCTTGTCCTGAAGAAAGAATAGAGTTGATTCCAGACTCTGCAAGTGATTAAGTGACATAGAACATTGTTTCTTTATAAGACATTAGGTACAGAACTTTAACAAAATAATCAAAAATTCAAAGGAATAAAATAATAAATTTAAAGGAATAATAGACATAAATTTTCTGTTAATACAGTTCTGAAAATTAGTAAACATATCTCTACTCAAAGTGCCTTTTCTACAACTGTAGTATGTGTTAAAAGAGACACACAATAGCTAGAATTTTGCCTTCAGTAATCTTAGATTTCTTATGTACTTTTTACTTAACTCTTGTGAATTAGTTACACAGTTTGAAACAACTTGCATTCTAATCCAACTTAAGTCAACTCTTCCAAAATGGTACTTTCATTAATTTCTTGGAGTATAACTAGGGAAGTGTTTCTCAACAGCTTTCATATTCTTAGCCACATAGAGAATGATATTTGTATGGTTCACTATGGTAAAGGAATAAGCTGCTCAACAAGGCCACTTGAGACTGGCAGTGAATGGCCCAGGGGACCGGTTACCCTGCAGCCTGCCCAGACTCCCAGAGGAAAAGAGGGGATAGCTATTTTGACACACCTGTTGCAAAGCTAGGTGCTAGAGGTTCTTTAGTAGCCATACCAACTGAATCAAAATTGAAAGAGCAGTTTAGATAGAATGAATCTGAGATGAAATTGCTGAACACAGAATTTCCCAGAATAGGGTATTAGGAATTGACAAAATACTCAAAGGAAAGAGCATTTGAGAAGCTGCATTTGGTCCCCTTGTGGAGAACCTGCAGCCCATTGAGGTTTTGTGACCATTTGCATTTCTCCTTTACAGAGCCAGGATTAGAGCCAAGGTCTCCAGTTACATGGTTCAGTGCTCTGTGACACCTTTGTTGTTAAGTGGGGGATAAAGGCAGAGCCCAGGCATGCAGACTTGCAAAGCTTGGTCCTGATGACTTTCAAGATACTCCTTACTATGAGTGGTTTTCCATAAAGGAGTGATTTTGTAATTGTTCATTGCTTTGCATAAGTCTGACGATTATGTTTTTTTTTTTTTTCCCAATTTTAAAAGATGGGAAGTTAAAAAAGCTGATAGTTTTAACTTTGTTTGTTTTCTTGATTGAGCCTAGTGATGGTTGAAATATTTTACTACATGTTATTATTCACATGTAAACAAAGGACTCAATTTTAGGAGTCAAGCATATAGTTTGCATTTTATACCACTATGGAAAAGAACCTTAAGCGCATAATATATATATCAAATCACTCTGACAGCATCATTTCCCGCTGTCAGCAACTCTCCTCTGAGGGATAGAAGGCAGCGAAGCTCTAGAAAAGCAGAAAAGCAGTACAGAACACAGGCAGCCATCCAGGTAACTTAGCTTTAATGGCTTTTCTGCTTAAATAGTTCAGTAAGGGCTATTGTCCGGTCTCCATTTCACTTGGTATGTGTAGATGTCCACATTTTGCTGCATAGGCAGGTTATTTTTCTAGATTCTGACTAGTGCCTAACACAGAGCCTCCCACAGAGCGGGGGCTCCAGTATTATGGGACATTGATGTCACCCTCTGTGAAAGATAATAAATTCATCTGCTCTTCACATTTATGGCTGTCTGGTTAGAAGCTGAAACCTGAAACTATAACCCTGAGAGGATCACCGTAGAAGATGAGGAGGAAGGCAGCATTCCCCTGTAGACCTTGTTTTTAAACAGTGTCGTTCTTAAGTGGTCCGGAAGGTGCCCATTCCAGGGAAATAGTAGTCTAGATCGGAAAATAAATCTTGAACTGAGAAAATCTGAGTTTTCAACCTCAGTCGTTTCATATGAAAGTATTTTCCTCTTTTCTGTTCAAATCAGTTTAATGGCTTGGAGCATGTTGTCTTCTAACCCACAGAGCCTTCTTGCATTCCTGTGCCCACCATATGGGTCTCAGCGTGGCGTGCAGGCTGCCACTGGGTCCCGAGAGCCCATGCGATCCTCCTTGGCGTAGCCTAGGGCAACCAGACAGTTGGGGCTGCTCATCCTCTCCTGACTTTGCCCAGGCCTTAAATGCTGCCTCGTTCAAGCAGTCATTCTTGATCCTTGCTACCTCGTAACTGGTTTTAATCTAGTTATCTCAAGTCCCTGAGTACTTTATTCATTTTTCTTCATAATGCTTTATAATTAAACTGCCGTTTTTTTTCTCTGTAATGCTCAAGAGCCAGGACAGTATTTATTTGTTTTCAACCTACCCCCCTCCTAAGATATTAGTATGGTGCCTTGACCCTAATGAATGTAAATATTGAGTAAAATAATAAATGAACATGTGGACAGTAATAATCCTGAACACAAAGTAAGATACTAATTTGATGTTTATAAAATAGAATCAAAAGGACTATGACCGGGGGTTCTTTAAAATTTCAGAGCACTGTTTAATATACTAATATACAATATCAAGTACTACTACCGTTTTAAAGGTTGGGCAGTTACTCACAGTAAAGGCATAGTCTGGGAGTTAGCTAGGTACGATCCTCCCTACTAGGGGACACCTGCAACATGGGCAGCTTCTTCCTGTTTTGGATCTCTATGGTGCCACAGTGCAGATAGAGAGTGGCTCCAGCTTGTTTCTGCTCCAGCTGACTCTGCCCTGTTTGACATGCCCGTTAACTTCATCACCATGGCCCATACTGGTCCCTGGACATAGAACAGGGACTGGAATGATTCTGTCCTTAAGGAGCTTGTAGATTATCAGGGGACAAGGCATGTGACTCATACTGCAGTCAATGTCAGAAGTGAAGCTAATAAATCATATCTAAAATACGATTTATTTAGTTCACACCCTTGATGGGGTTTCCTCACAGTTTGTTTCTATAGAAATTTCTTATGGTATTCTTGAGAATTCCAGCTCAGTTGGGGATTACCCATTGGTAATGGGCAGCCCATATGCAGGCTAGTTTTGTTTGTACAGAATAATGTTTTTAAAGACTCTTTCAGACTTGGCTGATAGTGTGCCTTTTTTCTTATGCTTGCTTGACTCATCTATTTGTAACAGGCTATCTGTAGACAATTGACTTTGTGACCTTTGCTCTAAATTAATAGTATTTTTCAATATTATACTACTTTTGAAAAATAGAAAATTGTTAATTATACCCTTGTCTTTTTTTGAGGGCTTTTGACCAACTGCTAATTATTTGTCTAAGAATATCTGTGTATAGAAGTGAGGCCTAATTTTGAGGCCCTTTGGTAATAAATGTCCTACCTACTAACTGTAAAATCACTTTTCTCCAGGTCCTGGTGGTAATATCAGAATGTTTCCATGTACCACGTCCCAGGCATTCATCTGACCGTTCTGGTAAGCGTGATAAACTCATGGAATAAAGTATCCTTAGACTCTGTTGTGTGCCCTTTCCTGCTTATATAGATGGTGGGTTTTACCCTTGGTTTGCTAGATGACCAAACCAAAATTCTCTGAAATCAGTTCTCTAGATAGATTTGAAGAAAAATTATTATTTATCCTCCATTAATTTAGAGAACGTTTCATTTAGGCATTTTTTCTCCTTAAAATGCATGTTCTTCATTAGTCAGTGTCTAGCTCTTCCTTTATTCAAGCTTGTAATGAAAAGGGAGGAAAGGAAACGCACATTTATTGAGCTTCACTATGTACCAGTTACTGTCCTAAGTCCTTGAAAAGCAGTCTCCCAACTGCTTTTACAGCTGAGAAAACAGAGGCTCTGAAAGGCTAAGTCAGTTGTCCCAGGTCACAAAATCAAAAGGTGGGGACTTGGGTTTTTAATGCACTTCTCCCCAAGTCTGTGCACTGCCCCACACTGTTTCTGGGACCAGGTGGCCCTGGATTCTCCTGTCTTTATCCCTGACTTTTTTTGAGAATTTATATGAAGACTTTATGGGGACTTTATAATTACTGAACTTTATGTGGTAGTTTAACTAAATAAGCTCAGGTTTCTTTTTAGTTTTTGAAATTTCAAGGCTTTGAACCTTCCATAGATAATTAGAAAATATATTATGTTCCTTAGAATTCTTGACCATGACAGAAACCCAGTTCAAACCAGTTTAGGAAAAAAGGAGAGTTGATGAGCTAACAGAACTGAAAAGCCCAGAGATGTTCTGCTTTCAGGCATAGCCCAAGCGATGTTAGGTTTCTGATTCCGTGTGGCTGACTCAGTGATTGCCAACAGCCCCAACTCGCATCTTACCAGCTCAGCAATTCCTGCAGAGGGAGAGGGGCTTTTCCTCCTGACAGTGCCCAAAAAATCCTGGGGAGTACTGTAATTGGCTCCGCTTAAGTCACATTGCTGATCCAGTCACCATGACTGGGGGGGTCACTGAGTCTTCTACAAGCTACAAAATACAGAGAGGGAAGGAACCTTTGCCCTCCCTGCCCATGTGCTCTGATAAAGTCAACACAGTCAATGAAATCTGCAGAGAGGACAGAGAATATAGGGCTAGGATGCCAATCAGAGAATCTGCGAGCCAGAGCTTTCAAGGAGGAGAAAATCATCAAGTAGTTCTCACCTTCTGCTTTTTTTGCACTTCACAGTTAAAAGCACTCAATTAATTGCTGAATTGTTGTTTATTCAGAGGACATTCTTTTTGCTCCTCTTCCCTCCACAGAGCAGAATCAGACATCAGAGGAGGCTCAGAGGGCTGAACAGTTGCAGGATGCAGAGGAGGAAAAAGATGATTCAAATGAGGAGGAAAACAAGGACAGCCTTATAGACGAGGAGGAGGAGGAGAAAGAAGACCTGGGAGATGAGGACGAAGTGGAAGAAGAAGAGGAGGAGGACAACTTGGCTGCTGGTGTAGATGAGGAGAGGAGTGAGGCCAATGACCAGGGGCCTCTGAGAGAGGGCAGCGTGGCTGAGGAAGAAGTGGGACCGGAGAAGACCGAAGGGGACATTCCTGAGCAGCCCTCTTCAGCTGACACACAAATGGCGGGAGACTCGTTGAGGCAGCGCAAAAGTCAGCACGCTGATAAGGGACCATAGGCTTTATGAAGGTTTTTCCAGTAATAGAGACCAAGGGAATGAGTCCCTTTCCCTCTGGTCTGCAGTTTAAACCAAATCTTTACTTCTTCTTGAATGAACACCCTTCTCTCTTAAAAGGATCCCAAGTCATGTGGTCTCAAGGCATTAAGCCTCATGTATATTAATGAGAATCTTTCAAGCATGATAATCAGGAAACAGACAAATGTGGTGTTAGGGTCTGTTTGGGGACTAACGACGGGAACAAGTTTATTTACTCGGGGCTGGAGAGTCTTGGCAAGAGGAGGCAATCCCAGCTCCCCATTAGCCCCTGCTAGAAATTACAGGCTGCAGACTCCATAAAATGAAAGCAAAGCGTCCTTTCCTCCTGAGCATCCTCAAAAGGGTAGCAGAAGTCTTGCTTCCTCTGCTTGTCTAAGTATTTATTTTTGTCAAACTTTGTAAGAAACATCAAGCAGCATATTGTAGGAACACTTTAAGAGATTGAAATTGAGAGGGCTTGGATAGTATTTTGGAAAGGAGCTTGGAAGCCATCCCAATCCTCTAAATCACCTTTGTTATCCTTTATTTCTTATCTTTAATTTTTTTCCAACTCTTTCTACATGGACTTGTTGGTTCCGGCACTCTTCACAGTCCCCGCTTAGTGATGGGACTGAGCCACCAGTCAAGTTCATGTCAGCTGTGTTTATTCTGACTTAAGGGTTTAGATAATCAGGAACCACAGCCTGTGAAGCCATGACTGCCGTGGAATGTTGTAACCTTCAGCGATTCAAAAGGAGGTGGGAATTTTACAGGCGAGGTTTTCTTTTTTTTGCCAAAATGTGTAATTTTTTTTCAAAGTGTTCCTTTATCAGTATTGTTTTTGCAGCCAAGAGTCCCCTACAGCTTTCCAGTACAAGGTGGCCTTTTGCAGAAAACTTGAATACTGTTTTATTTTTGTTCCTATCTCAAGGGGTTCTCTGGACCCTAAATCACTTTGATAATAACTGCAAAACCACTTCTGGTTTTCCTTCAGCGATGTGCTTTTGGGGAAAGAATTAATGAAAGTCAGTACCTGAAAATGAAAGATTTAGGGTCTTTTCTTTCTTCCTTAATTTTCTAAATAATTGTATCTTTGTAAATCTCTCACTACTCAATCTACTAAAAGTAGCAGGGGATCCAATTTCTTAAAAAAAAAAACAAAACCCATGTATGTAAATTTTCTCATACCTGATTTATGTCTTAGAATAAATTCAGAAAATAAGATCCCAAGCTTAAGAAAGATGCCTAAAGTTGACTCTCTGCCTCTTGAGTCAGAATAATACGGAATGCAGGCTTATGAAATTCAGAAGGCTTCTGTCATTTTTAAAATGAATATGCAGTATGCTTCTGTCTGGCTATTTAGATAACCCTTTCCTTGTACTAACTACAGTAGGGCTCATGGCGGGGTTCTGAAGCTCTCTGCCCTCCTGTGGTTGAATGATGCTATTGCCATTTTAATATCCCAGCAAAAGGTAGGGCTTGTTTTGCCAGAATCTGATTTTTAGAGATGGTTATTCTTCATCCAAGTCAGTTACCTGACAGCCTCCTTCCCTAGTAAGGTAAGGTTCATTAAGAGGCTCCAGTCATTGTGCTCCTCAGCACAGCAGTGGGACATTGAGTTTGAAGCCATCATAGCACTGATGGACTGGAGAATCTTGACGTGCCCATTTCCTGCCCCTGCCGCCATGTAGTGCTCTGACACCTTGCCCGTCGCACCATTGTGGCGGTGGCTCTGTCTCCTGATATCCGGAAGCCTGTCTGGGTCAGAGCTGAGCAGGGCCTGCCCTCCTGTCACTGGGTTTTTTTCTCATGATCAGCTGAAACAACGTTTTCAAATATCAATAAGCTCAAAGTTAGAGGTGTAGAATAAGAAAGGTTTTGTAGTTTGGCTTTTCTTTATAGTGCCTTTCCTAAAGTTGAAATAGTGATTTTCTTAATGGAATATTTGACTAGAGTGGAGGAAATGAAGAAATAAAATCGACCTTGGCTTTTTATAAATTTAAGGCCAATTTCCAACTGAACTCCAAATAATATCTAATTGTAGAATAAGAAAAATATCTTTTCTATCTCAGGATTACTTTAAAAATTGGAGGGAGGGGAGAAAAACATTTTTGGAGAAGCAGATACATTAAAAGTTTAGGTATCTGGTTATGGGAACCATTTTACCTCATTTTCCTTATTTTTATTATCCTGACAAAACATGGGTTTTTCATGAAGCACCTGATCAGTACACATCTAATTTCTTTTACACTTGAGGCCTTTAGGTTTGTTTTCAGTACTTAATATAAAATTAATGGAAAAAAATTCAATCTAAAATAATTTAAATCCAAAATTATATCAACATTTCAATAAGATTTTATGGATATCTAATCCCAAGGTCAAGTACATGGGAACATGATTTTGACTTAAAAGATAATCATGCTTTCCTCTATTGCAATATCAGTTGTTAGAGAATAGTATTTTGTGTAAATGAAAATTAGGTGGAGTCAATAAAAGTAACTGTGTGTTTTGGAATGGGGGTGCAGTGGTTTATGGGTGAGTCGTGGAGTAGGGTGCCTTTTCATTGATTAGAGGGAAAGTTTGAAACTTCTTGCCACTTTCATTAGTTCCTTTCCTTACTCATCTATTGTTAGATTTGATAAATCCCAGCTTGCTTAGAGATCTCCTATGGAAGCCACATACATATCCCACCGTTTTTCTCCCTGTGAAGTCTGAGCACTGAGTGGCTAACGGGGCCTGGCACAGTGTGGGTGCATGCTGACAACCCAGTCTTGTGCTCATAATCAGTCAGATACTGGCTCCTTTATCCACATAAAGGAAGTCAAAGTAACTACTGTATTAAAAAGTAAACCAAACTTTGGCAGGGTTGGTCTTTGACAGTGGATAAAACCAGTGTTGGCTTTTTACTGACAAACCGTGTCAATAGCTGTGACATGGCTACATGAGGTGGGTACGTGTAATTCTGCAGAGCCTGCATGCTGTAACACCTTTGGTGTAGATGATAAAGATGTCTTTGAAGGTGAATATGTAGCCTGTGACTTTTTATAGCTAGGTCCTTCAGGAGTGGAGGGGATATGTTGCTTTTACATGATAGGACATTAAAGAGTCAAAAAAAAAAAGAAAAGATAGAGTAAACCTGAGATGTCAGCCTAAAACCTTCAATTGGCATGAAGCAAGAGAAAGAAGGGGGAGAGGGATGCTTTTGCTAGTGTGTATCAATAGTGTATCTATGTATGATCTCCATCTCAGTGTTGAAGTGTTGTTTCTGCTAGTATTATAAACCTGTGGCTGGCACATCCTGTCAAACATACCAGTGCTTTGGAAAGTATTCATATATATCTTTCGTGCCAACAGAAATGTTCCTTGTTGTTAATACCTCTTTACCTCAGTCCTAGCTTTTGATCCTCTTGAGAAAATAATAGTTGGTCTTGAAAAAGCCAAATGTGAAATCAGCAAGTGTGATGAAGTCCAATGGGGCAGCTGTTTGAGCAGCTTTTCAAAGAGGTTCAGACTAAAGGCCTCTGATACCTTCAGACTAGAAAGTGACCTTCAGCTGGCTTACTCTTTCCGTAGTGTTTCTCGTGGACTATGACATTGTAGTTGTATGACTCATACAACTTTGATGTGTTTCTGCTGTAGTGTAATCATATTTGTTACTTAACAGCTTCTTCATGGGAATGCAAGTTTTATATTAAAAAATACTACTCATTTGTATTGCAGTACATTATGAATTTGTTATTTATATCCTTCGTAATTTTCTTGATTATTTAGCCCAGTGAGATTTAATTTTCTCTTTATCCATGTATTCTTTGCTTCTATAAATAGCATCTGTTGCAACAGCAATGACATGTCAAGATAACCATTTGAAGCAGTATATGGCCTGAATTACAAATCTCTTCATCACAAAATTGTACACAACCCTTGACCCTTTATGCTTTCAGTTTATTGTAATTTTCCATTTGTGTCAAAACCTAATGATATTGATGACTAAATACAGACAAAATGGTATATTTCTTTTCATATGAACAGTTTCACAAAAGCCATTTGCCTAGTCAGTGAAAGAAATACTACCTTGTTAAAAGAATAATTTTCCTGTATCCATCCACAGTCTGTTCTCTCTTTCTCACTTCCTTTTCCTCTCTCCTTTTCTCTCCCTCCTCTTCTTTCCCTCTCGTTGTCTCCCTGGCTTTGTGGAACCCAACCCCTGTGCCCTTCAGCTGTTCTGGAAATTCTGCACTAAACAAAGAACACGTCAAAAAACCCCAAGGCGCCTCTTTGTGCAGCCTGTGGTGTTGCCTATAGAAACTCATTACACTCACCTGTCAGGTCTCCCTTCTGTCCACAAGTGTAGGGTGGCCAGGCCGGAGTAGGTGGCAAGGGATGCTGCTTCATCCCTCAAGGCACTGTGTGCAGACTGTCCTGGTCTCCAAGGGCATTCAGAAGACTGGTGTACGCCCAACCCTCCTACCACTATAGTAGTGGGAGAGCACAAAGGAGGCAATCTTTTAGATACCTTTAGGGGCTGAAGTAATGAAGATTTGTTTTTTCTATTAGGGAAGGTGGTACGGGGATGTGTAGTAAGAAAATTATCAAATGTATATATCACCAGGTTCTTCCCTCAGAAGAACTGGCTCAGAATGCTTATATGCCCATACAAACAAATATGCCCATTATGCTGCATCTCAGCCCAGTTGAACTTGGTCTTACATCGTTGGTGGTAACAAAACCAGCAGTTTTTGAAGCCAGCAGCACTGAATCACAAAATGCAGTCCCATGCTTTGCCCCTGTCTTGAAGGCTCATTAGAATGTGTTCCACAGTAATAGGAATTCTTTCTTAGAACACATGAACTCCTTGAAGTTGATAACTCTTATTAGGCTAGGCCAGGCTCTGCTGGTAGACACCCAGAAACCTCCAGGGCATTAAAAACAAGAATTTCATTACTCTTACTAAGTCCAGGGCAGGCATCCCAGGTAGTAGTGGCTCTGCTCTGTGCAGGTTTTTGTAGGACCCACCCAGGTGAAGGGAGATTTTGCTGTCTTTAAAATACAGCTCAGGTGGCTGTGGTCTTTATCATCCCAAGCAGTCAAAATGGAAAAGAGCATGGAGGAACATTCTTGGGAGATTTTAAGGCTAAGTCTGCAAGAGGTACTTAGGAAATACTTCTGTCCCCCTTCCGTTTTTTTTTTTTTTAATGAAAAGATTTAGTTGCAGGATCATACCTAACTGAAGGAGAGGCTGAGGAATGTAATCTTGCTATGTGCTCAGGAAGAAAGGGAGATTAGAGAGGTAGCAATGACTTTATCTTACCTTCATTTGTATCCCTAGTGTCTGTACAAAGTGAGTTCCTGAGGAATGTTAGTAGAATGCACACACGTGGCAGGAGAGGGAAGGATACATCCAGACCCAACACTGGTTGTCTTCCTTATGGACTTTACCATTATTGGTCTTCAAGATACCAGAGTTTTCAAACTATGTGTTGTGCGTTCTCATGGAGTTTATATTTTATCTGGAAAAAATGGGCAACAAACAAGTAGGGTAAGAGCTACAAATTGAAAAAGGGTGTTATGGAAGTTTATATAAAAAGGAACGTGAGAGCCTGGATGGTACATGTGACCAGGAGGGTAAGAATAGAGGTTTCAGAAACAGATGGAACCTCTCAGATAAATGCAGACAGTTTTTAAGCAGTGCAAGGGAAAATAGGACTGGCATTTACCTCAACAAGAGGTTATTTGTTAAGCCGTCAGTATAGATTCTGGGTCTCATTTTCTTTTTGTATGGGGCACAGTTTATTAATCTTGGCAAGAGGTTTTTAGAGAGATGCTATAAATCTCCTTAAATGAGTTTCTGGCTAGTAGACATCTGATTATTCATGTTAACCTAAAAATTAATCTTTGGAAAGATTGATGCCATCAGAAATCTTTGTGTTTTGTTGTCACTGATGTGTCCCTTCTCTAAAATTATCAATAATAATTAGTTACTTGGGTGGAGACCATAGGATATAACCAGAACACATTTATGTCCCAAAAGAACAATCTGCTAGATTCACAAAAATTACAGAGCTGTCACTCTGTGGACTGTCTTTCAAACTCTAGCTGTCTGTGTAATAAGTTCTAAGCATGAGTCTCAATATAATAAATGGCATTAGAAACCAGCAGATTATTGGTTAACCATTGATTTACTATTTTAAGAACAATATTGTACGGAGTATTCTAAGGCTTTTCATATCCTTGACTCCAGGAGGAGAAATAGCTGTGCACATAGCCATCTAATTGTAATATGGCATCAAGTCATTTGACTGTCCTTCATAATCTTGATTCTGCTGATCCTGGGAGAGTAAGATTTACCTTCTATGCTTTTTACTAATATATGAAAAATATTGGTATTTAATTTAAAACTGGGGGTCTACTGTCATGCTAGAGCAGAAAGATGAGCCCCTTCCCTGTGATTACAGCACAGTCGTAGTGACCGGTTGAAGTGGTGACCTGAAGAAACAGGCCCATGAGTTTTCTTGGGCAGGGAGGGCTCCCTCATTCATAATATGAAAACAGAATGGTGGTTTGGGGGCAAAGCCATGTCAGGAGAGATCTGAGCATCCAAAAAAGGGTTTGATGATCAAAGGAATTTTTAAGTTGTTAGCCTTTAATAAGCTAACGATGTGAATTTCCAAAGAGGAATTTAGTCTCTAGCCTTTCTGAAACTTATTTGACAAGCAATATTGTGCAACAGAAAATTTGAAAACTTCCCCATTACAAAAATTAGAAATGTTAGCTAAACTATAACTGATAACTTTTAAAAGACAGAGCTGAGCTCAAAAGAAAGCAAAAACCATTCACAGAGGCCAAAAGCCATGAAAAAAATAAACATAACCTGGCGTGGCACTGCCCTGCTGATGGTGGTAGGGATAGAGGTGGAGACCTGATGCCCTAGGTGACCAGAGAGTGTGTTTTATTGGCTACATAGGTACAGACTATGTGGATAGGCCTTGACTGTGGCAAGGTGGGAAGCTGGAATTGAGACTTTATAAAAATGCTGGCTATATCCTCTGTGGAAAAAAAAAAAAAGAAAATCTCACTAGCGCACAGAGACTTCAAGGAAGCTTATCTGTCTTGGCTGACCTGTGTTGAAAATCAATAGACTTCTCTGAGAAATCATAACCATGGGCTGACCTTATATAAATTGGAGTTTGAATTTACACTAGCTCTATAGTCTCAAAAGGCCCCCAAACAAGAAATTCTCATAAAAAGGCTAATAGCAAAAGCAAAGGCAGAAGTGCTCTTGAAAACAACCCCAACCTGTCTTAACGAGTCCCATAGATAAAACGCTACTTAGGACGAACTCATAATCCAAAATCACAAATCTCACAAGGAAACCATCAGACAGCAGGATTAGACATGAAACCTTAAGATAGTAGAATTATCAGATAAGTTAAAAACGTAAATGATACATGTAAGGTATTTCTGATGCTTGAAGACAGCAGAAAGTATAAGATAATGAAAGATTATCAGCCTAGTATCTGTTGTTGGCTGCTGCCGAGTTGATTTCAACTCGTAGTGACCTTACGGAACAGAGTAGAATTGCCCCATAGGGTTTCTTTCCTAGGCTGTAAACCTTTACACAAGCAGATCACCAGGTCTTTTCTCCTGAGGAGCTGCTGGTGGGTTCCAACAGCTGACCTTTTGGTCAGAGACCAAGTGCTTTAACCATTGTACCACCAGAGCTGCTGAGTAGTATCTAGGGAAGATAAAAAAGTCAGGAATGTGATACAATGATGTTTGGTACTGCTTTTCTCCTCAGAGTATTTGCTCTTTATAGGAGTGTGTGTGTGTGTGTATGAGGGGGGCAGTGTTCAGAAGTGATTTTGAGAGCCTTGTTGGGCTGAAGGGAGAGTGATTGGCTAAAGATGGGAGGGCCTGTGGGAACCTCCCTTGCGTAGGATTGGGTTCTTGAAAGGACTCATGCTAGAAATAAGTAAGCAGGTCCCCATGGAGACTCAGGTTCAACCTTAATCCATCCAACTCCTAAAATCAGAATGAAGTGATCTGGAAGCAAGTGTAAATCCTAGGAGGAAGATAATTGGTAATGGCTGAGTTCTAAAGTTGGGTGATAGGTTCATGGATGCTTTAAACATCTCCTCCATATTCTTTAATATTTATCAAACATTTCATTAAAAAAAAAAGAAAAGAATGAATGCCTCAAAAGCTTTCCTATGGTTGACCTGGATTCTGACTGGTGTGGGCAGAGGCAGATCGGCTCAAAAGTCCATATTAAAATTCCAGTTATGCTTCTCTTCCCTTTTTTGTTTTGTCATGAGGTAAGATGCTATGGTTTAATAAATCCTGGGACTCACATAGCCCTGCCTTTGTGGATCACTGCATTCAAAGAACCACAATGTAGCAAACAAAAGTAAACACTGCTTTCCTCATTCCTTTTATTGTCTGCCTCTTGGTCCCCAAAACTATACCTTGCTCAAGCCCATCCTATCCCCCACTTTTATTCTTTATTCTTGAACAATTCTCTGTGTTATCCCCAAAGTGTAAGCACTAATCTCTTTCCCTCTCCACTTTCCTCTCACCTCCTCTGGCTCCATTTTTTCCCTTTTTGGAGAAAGGAAATCTTAATCCTTTCTAACACAGGTACTCTATCTTGGCTTCTAAGATTCTCTTCATTGCACCATTAGGTCACCAAGCTCCAGAGAAGTGTTAAATGCCAAACAACATTGCCAGAATTCTCCTTCGTTGGAAATTGACGTGTGAGGGGGCATGAGTACCCATGTGTCAAAAATAAATTATGCCTATATGCTTAACATCCCTTTCATCTGCTGCCCCCCACCCCTCCCCTGCAACTTCTCTATTCTGGACAGATCAAAAGTCCTGTCAGGTACCTTTGATGAGAGGAACTGTTAGGCTTAGCTGCCTCTGTCAAAATTCATATTGTCCTTTCCACAAACATTGAAGGCAGAGAATGAGGAATTCCCTGGTAGTGTGGTGGAATGAGGAAATTCTCAACCTTGAGAATCTCCACTCCTTCTCCAGTCCACATTCCACATGCAGCTAAAGGTGATTCAGTTAAGAAACACCCGTAGTGGGGAGACTACCACTAGATGTTTCTCTTCTCCACAGCTGAAACAAACCCTGGTCACACCCAGTCTGCCCAGTTTGACCAGGCAGGTCAAGGGTGATCCTCATGTGGACTTGGTGCCCACAGTCGCCAAGTCCCTGGGTCCAAGAAGACTTCAATAGGCAGAGTATCCTGTACGTCATTTCCAGTTCCCTAAATCTGCTCAAGGCCCCTGGTGTGAGCCCCATTAGGTAGTCCTGAAGTCAGTAATCCATCCATTTTTCTCCTCAACCTAAGTGAGCTTCACCAATGGTGAGAATTCATGTGGCTCTTGCTTCAGGATTAAACCAGAGCAAATCATGGCTCATTCTCCTACCTGCTCCAAACAGGAAATTTACCAGTGTTCATTCCATCACCCCTGGCAGGCAGCCCACTGTAGGAATTCTTCCAGCCACTTACTTCTTACGGGCACATCCTCTCAAAGCTGTCCACAACGTTGATGGCTGCTTTTCTGGCTTGAATCTCACAAGTGACCCCTGGTGTAGGATATTAGATGCTAGTATCTCTTTATTTTTGTGTGTGTGCATCTTTGTATCCTTTTAGTGGAATGCTCAAACCTTGCTCAAGATTTTTTTTTTTTTTTTAATTTGGCCCTTCTTTGGCATGGTACTTTCCACAAATTTCTCAAGTTTCTGGTAGCTATTATCCTGTTCCAGTGATTCCAAAGCCTGCCTGAATTTGACTTCTGTGGCAGCAGACAGATCTCTATGGAATGAATCTATTCAGCACCAGTGGACTAGGGGAGCAGCTTTTAACTGCTCCAAGCAGGATTGACATAGGCCTTTCTCTGTTGAGAGAAGAATATAATTTCGTACAAAATTGGATGACCAGTGAAGCTGTCTTAAAACTAAGGTTCAGTTTGCAATTTCACAAGGAACTTATTTTTTCTTTTAAAGACATTCTCAGTTTTACTACATTGTATTTACTACATAAACTTCTTTCCAGTTGGAACCAGGCATTTCCCTTTAGTGTTCATTTTAGCAAGGCCTCAACCACATTGCCTTGGCTTTCTGGAGTTATTTGTAGAGCCCCTTCTTCAGTCCCCACTTCTTTATTCCATTAATCCAAGAATCTGACCTTCATGACAAAAATACATTATTGGTTCAGGGGATAATTTAATTCAAGGTGCAGTTGTGTATCACATTACAAATCCAAAGACCTGGAGATTCATTCCCGGAATGTAACCAATATAAATCCAGTGACTCTAAGTTGTCCAGTTTTCTAGCCAAAGAAATCCAGCCCAGGAATCTGAAGCATAGACTTTTATCTCTGGGAGAATATTAAGGAGAGTTAAATTCATTATCCAGACTAACATTTTTTTTTTTTAAAGCCCCAACTCCTTTCTGCTAAAATTCTTTTCATTTTTTTTTTTCATTCTTTTGTTCTCCCCGTGACACTTGGCCACTCTGAATTTGCATGGTAAGGTCTAGTGGGAGGGGGGGGGGTGTCAAAGTAAGAAATGGAACAAAGCTATGCTAATACTTGCTGAGTGAGGGGAGCCCTCGTATACTCTTAAATCAATCTATTATCCCTATTACATTACAAAGAAATAAGAATAAAGATTATCTGATGTAATCTGATGATTGATTCTGTGGACCATATTTTTGCTTACCACATCCTCTTCTGATTTTTTTTTTTTTTTTTCTCTCTTTGAGTTTGACTCTTTGGATCTTCAACCTAAAACTAGAAATAAAACAATTGTTCTTCTTTTCTTCCCCAACATTGATTTACAACAAGTTCCAAGGATTAGGACATGAACATCTCTGGGAGGCCATTATTCATCCTACCATAGCATCCTGTATGCTACACCCAGTTCTAGTCACTGGGTGAAAAAGAGAAATGAGCCTGGGACTTCAAAGAGGTTGCATTCTAGTAGGGGGTATCAAAAATAAATAAAAACATAAAGGGATAAATGATATAATTTCAGATTTTTATAAATACTATCAAGAAAATAAAGCAAGATAAGGGTCAGGGCTAGGAAGGGAGAATGTATGTTTAAATAGGGCGGTCAAGGAAGATCTTCCTGAGACAGTGACATTTGAACAGTTTGTACAAAAAAGTCTCCTCTTTGAATGAGAAGGAGCCAGCCGTTAAAAAAAATCTAGATGGTAAGTATTTCTAGGAGAAGAAAGAGCTACTGTAAAGACCCTGGGGCTATAATAAGTTTGATATATTCAAGCAAAAGAGGGAGAACAGTTGGAGATGAACCATAGAAGTGGTGGTGGAGATTATGCAGCACCTTAAAGGTCACCTGGTAAAAAGTATGAGTTTTAAGTGTGATGAGGACCCATTGGAGAGTTTAGAGCAGAGGAGTAACATTACTTACGTTTTGTGAAATAAAATTTTCAGTTTTACTTTATGAAAACAGTGTTTTCTTGCTCATGGCACTAGAGGTCATCTTATTAAATGTTAGAAACCTATGTGCTATGTAATCATATATGATTTTGAAGCTTACAGAAGCTTATAGTTATGCCTTAAACTGTAACTTTAAAAGCAGCTTGTCTTGTTTCACATAATTGTATTTAGGTAATCAAGCTCACTGAAACACTTGAAACCTATTCTTTCAGAAAACAATGGAAAATTAATGAACATGTCCTGTTTCCAAGACTCCAGAGGCCTTACAACCATGGCTCACTAGCCTTGTGATTGTCTTAGTAAGGTTCCTATTTAATTTTTGATAATGTTTGAGCACATACTACTGTTTTATAAGATTTATGTATTCTGACACAATCATGAACCAATCAAAAAAAATTTTTTTGTCCAAAGTTTTTGTTGAAATTATATATACCTAAAAAAAAACAAAAACAAAAAAAAACAAACTCATTGCCATTGAGTTGATTCTGACTCATAGCAAGCTTTATAGGAGCAGATTGCCACATCTTTCTCCTGGGGAGTGGCTGGTGAGTTCGAACCGCCAACCTTTTGGTTAGGAACTGAGTGCTTTAACCACTGCCCCATCA